ACACAGACCACTGAGTTTCTCGCCGGATCTTCTCAGTGGGTCGCGTTTCCGATCCGGTTGTAGATTCTGCGAAGCACGATTCTTGCTAGGGTTCGTGTTAGCAACAACGTCAGGTTTGAGCCCCGTGAGCTCACCTACACGTCAAGGCGAAGCTGAAATAGCCTCTCAAGTCTTTCAGCATAGGTATTAAAAAAATACTGCGGAAGGAAATTAATTTCTGTGTCGGACGGCAGATATTAAAAATAAAATCTGAACGAGCAAAATAGTTCCAAATAATCGGGATGATACGGAATCAGATGGTAATGAAATATCCATTAAAACACGGATAACCATAGTTCCTTTGTGACCGACAACTTCAAAACCGGTAATTTTGACTATCGCTGCTCACCAACAAAACCTTGGCTCAACTATTTTAAACAAACCAATGCCAATTAAAATAGAAATAAAACAAAACTGTTAACCGTTCACTTTAAGTGCGCCCGCAACATTATTTCATTATTCAATACTACGTTTGCATTTTCTCAATTCGTATAAAAAAAAACACGAAACATGACAATCGAAAAACGAAAACTTTCTTTTAATACGATAAGTCGTCTTTTCGCATTAAAAGTGTACCATTTCCAAAAATATTCGAAATTGAGTTAATATTTTGGTATCACCAGTATTTTTCTCATAAATACATCTATATATTAATACGTGAAGTGAAAACTTTGTCTCCCTTTTTACGAAAATTGCGCGGACGGAGAAGTGTGAAATTTTCCACACTTATAGAGATTATAGAGAAGAAGTGCACAATGCTAATATTTTTTTTCAAAAATGCATAAAAATACATTAAATCAATAAAGAAAACATTACACACACTATCATGTATTTGACACACACACGCATGCATACTATTTGTTTATTGTCAAACTTTTCTTTGCAGTCTGTCGGTTATAGTCTGTCAAATTGAGAATATATTAAATATTGTTTTCTCTTTATTAATATTTGTCTAAAGTGTAGTCTTGGCGAAATCTGTGATTAAAGAAGTATAATAGTCCTTGACAAGAGAATCATAATAGTGTACGAACTTATAATTTCAGTTAATTATAGTCGAATTTCGACTACCGGGGGACCACTAGTACTGTCAAAAGACCGTAGTTTAATTTTAGTTTTTTTTTAGTTTACCGACGTTTTGACTACTATTAACAAAATGAATACATAATTTTTTCTTACTTTAAAAGACAGATAATGTAACTGGTAAAAAATAAAAAATAAATGTTGCAAAGATGATTAATATTAAAAATATCGCATGTTAAATTTCTAAAACACTCTCCTTTTTTTTTTATTGCTTACATGGGTAGACGAGCTCACAGCCCACCTGGTGTTAAGTGGTTACTGGAGCCCATAGACATCTACAATGTAAATGCGCCACCCACCTTGAGATATAAGTTCTAAGGTCTCATTATAATTACAACGGCTACCCCACCCTTCAAACCGAAACGCATTACTGCTTCACGGTAGAAATAGGCGGGGTGGTGGTACCTACCCGTGCGGACTTGCAAGTGGTCCTACCACCGTGAAACTAGTCAGTTTTGAGATTATACAGTTTTAATGCGAGAAGACGTAGTGTGCTCACTTAAAGTATGATATTCTAGCGACCCGCCTTCGGGGTTTGCTTCGGCAGCTGTAATTTATCTTTGATCTTATTGAACTGTCTTTTATACAAATCGCGTAATGACAGTAACAAACACAGTAAAAAAAGAACATAACAAACAAAAAATCTAATATTTTCTCTTTTTATATTCATGAAGGTCTTACCACCAGTAAAGTGTTGGAAGTGTTGGAAGACTCGCCTAGAATTTCAGACATCAAAGTCTCTATTGCTTTATATGTTGCGTGTTCAACGCAATTTGAGGCTATATTAACCTATATTAAGACCTTAGAACTGATATCTCAAAGTGGGTGGCGCATTTACGTCGTAGATATCTATGGGCTCCAGTAACAATTTAACACCAGGGGCTGTGAGCTCGTCCAACCATGTAAGCAACAAAAAACAAAAAATATACGCATTAATAAACATCTAATAAATAAAATAAGAAATATAATTACACACAATTAAAAGTTTCCCTCGAATAGTTACACGGAAGTCTATAAAATTCAAATCGCCTCGAAAACCTATAACGATTAGTGCTAATTCGCTGGTTTACTGTTTGGTTTCGTTCAGATCTGTGTGCTTAGTGCGAGTTTTTTAACGTTCTCGATAGCGTAAAAGTTAGCTCATATTTGTATGGAGTGGGATCGTTTGCGTACGTTTGCCGCTAGGGGCGCTGTTCCAACTGCATACAAAATTGGATTAACTTTTACGCTATCGAGAACGTTAAGAAACTCGCACTAAGCACACTGTTCACGTCCGCTTGTCCAAGGCTGCCTGCGCTAAGACGTTTACGGACAGACAATGTTCCGTGAACAATTATTATGCCTTATCGAAATATATTCTAAGAAAATATAACTTCCTTATTAAAAGCGCAGCCGAAAGATTCGAAAGTCGATATTCCAATGCTACTAAGACCTGCGCCATGATAGAGTACGCTTTATAGTCAGTCTATTGGTTTCAGTGACTATCTACATCAGCTGTATTAAAAAAAAGAATGAATTTATTATTGCTTTTCATAAGCCCTGGGAAGCGGCCATATTTAAAATAGTGATGAAACGATTATTACTTATCGATCACAATTATTTCGCAAAATAATCGACGTAATCTTAATTTGATATTAAAACATATAGCTATCGATAAGAGCATAATATATCGAGTGGTGAAAGGCAATTTGGTTTAAGCGATATTTTTGCAACTTCACAGTAGAGCGATTTGACGTTTAAAATTTAGAGAAAACTAGCGACCCGCCCTCGCTTCGCTTCGGAAACTGTAATTTATTATTGATTTCTCCACTATTTAATGGATGTTATTATACATATAAACCTTCCTCTTCAATCACTCTATCTATTAAAAAAAACCGCATCATAATCCGTTGCGTAGCTTTAAAGATTTAAGCATACATAGGGACAGACAGACATAGGGACAGATAAAGCGACTTTGTTTTATAGTATGTAGTGATATAACATAACAAAAAAACTTCTTCAGCTATTTGAACGGAGCAAACCTAATTGAAGTTCAATTAAAAAAAGCGAACTGTTGATGTTGATACCAAATAAAACGCACCTTTAATTACAAAGATAAATGTGTGTGTATCAAGCGAAATATCGCTAAAAATCAAATAAATAACCTTTGATCCCTCGATATTATTATTTTCGGCTTTCTCGTGTCGTCGAAATATTACGTTCGACAATCGTCCGTGACCATGAAAACTGCAAAAGTAATCGAAAGCAACGAAAAGCCCCGGAAAGAATGTAATGAACATAAAAAGGCGGACATAAACTTAAAATTACCATATTTTTAAATTCCATTCCAAAAAAAAAACTTCATCCCTCAATTTCTTCGTATTGGCACTTACAAATTTTTGAGTCCGCGCGGGTAGGTACCACCACCCTGCCTATTTCTGCCGTGAAGCAGTAATGCGTTTCGGTTTGAAGGGTGGGGCAGCCGTTGTAACTATACTTGAGACCTTAGAACTTGTATCTCAAGGTGGGTGGCGCATTTACGTTGTGGATGTCTATGGGCTCCAGTAACCACTTAACACCAGGTGGGCTGTGAGCTCGTCCACTCACCTAAGCAATAACAAAAAGAAATAAAAAAAATATACAATTTTATAAAAAAATCATTTCAATAAAACAATTCAACCCTTATTTTTTCATATTGGCACTCACAAATAATCGCTATTAAATCATTAATTACATATAAATCGTAAGGTTTTCATGTAAGTAATTGGAGCTCCATTATTTGACTAAGTAAACACAAACCATATTCGTTACTGATCTTGTGACAATAGATCGAATAATAACTATCTAACCGCAAAACAAAATGTCGCCCAACATACGTGTTTATTTAAACAAAACTGAAAGATTATCGGTAGTACTGACAATCGCAACGCAAACATAATTCCAGTTTGAGGTTAAGATTATCGGTATTCAAGAGAAATAAGTATATGTCTATACCGAGTATAGCAACGTGTGATGACTCCTAATAAAGAGTTACAAGTGACAAGTCAAGGTCAAAAATGCCAAGAATATTGAAGATAAAAACACTAAGCTACCGTGAAAACGATTAGAGTTACTGAATGGAAAAATATTGCCTCAACCTTGAACTAGCGCGCAATGGGATACGGATGAAGTTATTTGGTTACGTGATCTTGCGACTCGCCTGGCGTTAAGTGGTTACCGGAGCCTATTCACATCACCTGCTTGACCTTGACGCTTGAGGTTTAAGTACCAATTGCATAGTGCTGACCCCTCCTCCAAACGGAGCGCTTGACTCCATTGCGTCTCTCACCTATCATAAATTAAGATACCGACTTCACAACCTAGAGATTGGCGATGACATTCTTGCTCTGAAATCTATGGGCGCCAGTGGCCCCTTAAAAGCAATTAAGCCGCGGACTATTTCACTCTCAATAAAAGAGTAACATTTATATTTGCTTTTCAAGTTTGCTGTACATAATTATTAATTAATACGTGAAGCAAAAACTTTGTATGTACCCCTTTTTACGAAAATTGCGCGGAGGGAGGAATATGAAATTTCCCACACTTATAGAGAAGGAGTGCAGAATGTGATTTTTTTTAATGCAAAAAAAATACATTAAATCGAAGATTTATAAAAAAACGATAATAAAAAAATGTTATTTTTTGTACGTTATTACAAAGTTAAGTCGTACACTATGTGCATTACTAATAAAAATCTTACGTTACGAACGTTTATTCCCGGTTAAGGTACCCCTCCGCATCGTCCCATAAGGAACTTCGTTCCAAAAAAATATAATTCATTTATTTATAGTCTGATGATTTACAATTACCTAATTTCTTTGTCAAATCAAACGAAAACATAACGAGTGCTCTAATTTTTCCAGACTCTAGTGTTCTGCTCGGCGTGGCTGCTGATACAAGGCCAAGGATCAAACGTTCCCGCCACCACTCCGGTCCCGATATTAAAGCAAATCAACAGACAAAACGATGACGGATCGTACAGTTACGGCTATGAAGCAGCCGACGGTTCATTCAAGATTGAAACGAAGTACCCTAATGGGGATGTCGCGGGGAAATATGGGTATATCGACGAGAGCGGGAAACAAAGGGAGATCTCGTACGGAGCCAGCAGCGCTAGAGGATTCGAGCCCCAAGGTGGGTTGACTTTAATCATCTCTTTCTGAACTCGCGTGAAGGAGCTCACGGACCACCTGGTGTTAAGTAATTACCAAAGCCCATAGACATCTACAACGTAAATGCCGCCACCCACCTTGAGACATGAGTTCTAAGGTCTCACTTTTAACAATACAACGGCTGTCACACCCTTCAAACCGAAACGCGTTACTGCTTCACGGCAGAAATAGGCAGGGTGGTAGTACCTACCCGTGCGGACTCACAAGACCTCCTACCACCAGTAATTACGGAAATCACAATTTTTCGGGTTTGATTTTTATTACACGATGTTATTCCTTCACCGTGGAGGTCAATCGTGAACATTTGTTAAATACGTATTTCATTAGAAAAATTGTTATCCGCCTGCGGGATTCGAAAACCGATGCCTCGCTAGACACGAATGCACCGGACGTCTTATCCTTTACACCCATAACAAGACTATATTAACGTTACCTAACTAGTACTAAATCGTAGGTTATAAAATTAATTTTTTTTTAGTATACAGCTCACAACCCTGTCCAAATTTTGTATCGTTAGGGTTAGAACACTTAGAATGTACGAAATCGTATAGACTATAGATCTACAACTCGTATATAATAGACGATAGGTTATAGAGCCACTTTTACAAACGTCCAATTAAAACATGGGTATTGCTACACAAAAACCACGCATTAATCAATCTAATTAGATGTTCTTAAGGTCCGACTATGAGAAACTGTGAGATTCGCATCTGATTTCATAACACGGTCTAGTTCTGTGTGCTTATTAAGGCCAGGTTCGATTAACTTTGGGTGGTAGGCTTGAGTTCACTTGTGGATCTAAGGTGATTTGGTTTTCCTTCCTAAGCTGATGGCCTTGAGAGGCCATTTCAACGTAACCCTAACAAGTAGTGAGCTCACGCGGCTCTAAGCTGGTGATGTTGCTAACACTAACTCTAGCCAGAGTAGTGCTTCACAGAATCTACCACCGGGTTGGAAACGCAACCCACTGAGAACCTCCGGTGAGAAACTTAGTGGGCTGTGTCTGTGGGTTAATTTACTCGCCGAGCCCTTCGTCGCAAGCGACGGGTTCGACGAGAACGATGACCGGTGCTTGAGGTACCTAAAAGCACCGTTAGTGGATCGGGAGGATCCGAAATGACGTGTTCTAATATCGTTGTGTGAAGCGATTTACATACCTAAATTCATTTGTCTAATATCGATTATAACAAAACGTTTTGGCGCAATTGAAACTACATGATGACAAATTGTTTGAACTTAACTTACCTTACCACGAATAAAACTTCCAATGGGTTACGCCTCGTTATTATTTGCCTTATTTCCTAAACCTTTCAGGAGCCGGTATCATGGTCCCACCACCGACGCTGCACGACCCGTCTTCCAACGCTTTGACTGACGGACAAGAAGACGACGGTCAGTACCGCGAGGACCCGAAGATCTACGAAGACCCGAAATACAATGGCAGACAGAGCGCGAAACCCGCTCAAGGCTTCAGACAGTTCCAGCAACCAGCCCAGCCGGCTCAAGCTGAACCGCAATACCAACGGCAGCAGTACCAGAGCTTCCAATCCAGCTTCCCAGCACAGCCCCAATACCAACCGCAGCCTCAGTACCAGCAACCCCAAAGTCAATACCAACAAGCGCAATATCAACCCCAACCTCAATCCCAAAGTCAATACAGGTCGCCGCTATTCTCGCAGCAAAGCAATCTCTTCAATCAGGCACCTCAACAGTTCCCTCAAAGCCAAGTTTATCACCAACAACCTCAGTTTTCGTATCAAGCGTTCACGCCACAGCCATCCAGCCAATTCCAGTCCCAGAACTACCAGGCCCAGTCCAGTCCCTTCAACGGCCACCCAGCCCAGAACTTTGATCCCAGCACCGGCTCTTACTCTATTAACTTCACCGGCTAAGTTAAATGTTGTGAGACGACAAGTGAGAAAATATAAGACGCATAACATAGTCATTCATAATTTCAATATTCAAATCTGTCGTCTAATTAAATTGTAAACAAGCTTTGTTTGTTTGTTCGTAAGTGCTCCACAGTGGGTGGGTGGATATCGAATGTGGTATATTATTTTTAACCAGTTTATCAACAAGAAACATGCTGTAGCCGATTTGGTTAGATTGTGTTTTGCAATTTTTTTTTGCATTTTCTTGATCAAAAGAGACAAAACACATTGTAACCGTGGTGGCTAGGTCGTAAATATTAAAAACAAGAATGTTCATTTCGCTCAAATCGTTTTGATAAATAATTGAATAATTGATTGATAATATTTGATGAATAATTGATTTTCGCGGGTAAAATAAAAATTTCGGGTTCAATGTAGCATTTATCTTTAAAAAAAATAACAATTTCCGAAGTTTCCAATATTTTACAAAATTCATGGTAACTAAGGTATTACTTGTCAAAATTAGTACATACCGTACCTAATCTAATTATGCCAACTACTGTAAAAAAATATTAAAGCTTTTTAAAAGAAATTAACGCAAAGGTATTAAGAATGTAAAATGAAAAGAACAATCGCGATCTTAAACAGCCAAAGCGGATGTAATCTTTAAATTTGACAAATTCACAAATTGATTTAAACACGTCCTAATACGAATTGATTTGACAAACCTAAGACCTAATTAATTGTAGTTATTCAAGAGATAATTAACCGAATATTGAAGCCTAAAGATTATCAGTGAAAATAAATAACGATAATTATTGTACTTTATATAATCTTTATTTTATTATTTCACGTTTTTGAACTAGTCAGAAAATATATAACAAATTTATTTAAAATATTAAAATTCATTTATATCATTCACAACAATCTATTTAATGAATTGATAAATAAAAATATGTTTATTTTCTGCTTTTGACAACACCTTCGAGAATCATTTTGAAACGGCTAAAAACCTTTTTAACGTTATCCAAATTTCAATAATTTAATTGAAATATATTTAATTCGTAAAAAAACACATTAGACACACACAGAAAATTTTCAGGTTATGTTACATCTGTATTTTGTATTTATAATTGATTAATAATTATTTGAAATTAACGATTAATTCAATATATTATAAATTTAAATTAAAAATTTACATCATGGTTTGTAACGCTAATTGTATCAATTTATAATTTTGTATATTACGGAACTGAGTCTTAAAAATAAATAAGGCTATGTGCTTACGTCAATAAATTTTACATTACAATTGTGTAACAAACAAACAGTATTATTATGAATGCAACGAAACACGGAACGTGCGGATTGCAAAATGGCCGCGGCAACGGACACGTGCCTTGTGTGTAAATTGACAAATAAATAAAATGTTATGTAGTTGTGTTATTGTTTTCTTTTCCTTGTCTAAATTTTCGAAACACTATCGTGGAGTGCATTCGTTCGCGGGCGGTGTCGATTGCATATATTATGAATATCAATGCATAATAAATTAAAACAGGGTCCGGTGTGTTTGCACGTCGAAGAAAAGTAATGAAAATGAAAAGAGGGTAATTCAAGAATAGTAGTAGATGAAGATACATTAGCGATTTTTTAAATTATTTTTTTATCTGTTTTTTGCGTTCATCTCCGAAACCATTTATTAGAATTTTCTAAGAATTTTCTAGAATTTTCTAGAACTTTCTAAAATTTTCTAGAAATTTCTAGAACTTTCTAGAATTTTCTAGAATTTTCTAGAATTTACTAGAATTTACTAGAATTTACTAGAATTTACTAGAATTTACTAGAATTTACTAGAATTTACTAGAATTTACTAGAATTTACTAGATTTTACTAGAATTTACTAGAATTTACTAGAATTTTCTAACAAAATTTAGATTTAAAGCTTAAGATTCAAATACAGTTCCTTATTAAAGCCTTTGTTGTTACGCGACCTTAGGTTCTAACAACGAATTGACTTTGTAAGCCAAAACTGAAAATAAAAAAAACTTTAACACTACTTTTCAGACACAAACAAACGAAGAGCCATTAAAAAAATATATATATCATTTAATTTTAATTAATCAACGATATTTTTTCACAACTATTAGCAGTCAGAATTAAGTCTAACTTCGAAGTCGAATTAAGACTAAGAAGTTCTGATAGCATCAATTCAACAATAAAATACTAAACATATTCTAAAAATACAAGCTAAATCACAAAGACGTTGCACAGAATATACCACTTTTTAATATATTTTTTACATTACGAAAAGGATCGAGTAATTGTAGGAAGGCTACACAATTTATTTAATTGAATGCAGCAATTCATTCAGTAGAGTTTCAAATGTGTAAGAACATTTTAAGGATACGTCAGTGATACTGAAGTGTACTAATAAACGTTTTTCACTAAGTAAATTGGTGTATAAATTATAAGACTGCAATTTTACGCGTAATCAGATTAAATGAGGTAAGTAAGGTTATACAAGAGAACATGCAGGCGCTAATATTGTACATTACTTGGCGTATAGAAGCTTTAAGGCTTCGTCAAACAGAACGCGTAATTAACGCACATCAGAACACTAAACTGACGCCGCGCTATGACGCCGAGATGTGTTGTACTACTATGGTAACATACCGTCAAACAGAGCCCCAGCGCTATAAGTACGCAACGCTCTGTCGCGGCGTTAGGGCGCTTTGACGTCAGACATTGTAATTTTTTACAAGTTTTATTTTAGCGTCCGAGTGATTGTGTATTAAAATTCTGGATAGTGCCCGAAAAATTGATAGAAATAGTCAGAAAACCCATGCTTATACAATGCCACATCTGAATCACTCGACATCTTAATACTTTTAAATTTTCACACTGCTATCGAAAGGCACTATGATTTCGCGAATGCGTTGCGTCAAGTAGTCAATTTGTGTGACATGAAAAGAGCGCGACGTTAAAACGCAGCGCTAAGTATGCGTTCTGTTTGACGAAGCCTTGAAACCGCCTTTTTCTTTATTATAAGCACATTGTTATTGAAAACAAATATATGTATTAGGATGAATTCGAACGATTGTTGAACTTTTTCAAGTAATGTAGATGTTGTTTACGAATTATAAGGATTCCGTGTGGAAAAGTAACAAAACATTTTCCAATCGATGGAAATTTGGTCGTTAAAAACAAGATAATTTATGGAGATTGTAAACTAAAGTTTAGCTTTCATGTGTTCTATTATATTCGGTTTCTTCAACAGAACATAAAATAATCACAGAAGTTTAACTTGTTATTAAATATAATAATAGTGTTTTAAATAAATTGTGTTTATATTATTAAAAAAAAAATACTAATAAAATTTTAAATAAATATATTAGAATAATAAAAATAAACGGGGACAAATCAAACATGGTCGTCTAGCCCCAAACTAGGATTCCATGTTCTATAGGAACCAGAGATACATACTTATCTACATTTACATTTATAAACAACCAGACAGCAAGCAAGAGCAAACAAACTTGTTCATCGCTCGAATGTGACGAAGCCGGTCTGTCAAATAAATGTCTTCCAGTAACGCGGTTACATTCGAATTCTATTGTACAAAAATAAATTGCTTTATTCCTACAACCATCAAAGGCTTTATTACATTGATTCCTACGTCTGAACAATTAGCCCGCGCGAAAATCTCTTTACGAGACTAATCTATGTTGCACTGCAATGATCAAACATCATTGCTGAGAGGACCATGGACAATTCATACCCGGTAACCGTGCAACCTAATATAAGCATCAGCCCGCTGAGTTTCTCACCGAATCTTCTCAGCGGATCGCGATTCCGATCCACTAGTAGACTTATTCGCGAAGCAGCTCTTGAGTTGTTAGGTCTCCTTTGGAGGCGCTCGGGTAGCTGTTAGCAAGTCCCACCTCTCTGGCTAAGCCCTTGCTCGCCTGGTAAAACTGGAAAGGCCTCCGGGCCACCAGTGATCTTTCAAACAGTGGTAGTGATGGGGTAGGACCTCTTGTGAGTCCGCACGGGTAGGTACCAACACCCCGCCTATTTCGGCTATGCAGCAGTAATGCGCTTCGGTTTGGAGGGTGGGGCAACCGTTGTAACTATACTGAGACCTTAGAACTTATATCTCAAGGTGGATGGCGCATTTACGTTGTAGATGTCTATGGGCCTCGGTAACCACTTAATACCAGGCGTGCCGTGAGCTCGTCCACGCATGTAATCAATAAATAAAAACACAAAAAAAACAATTCATTCTACAATGGCAATATACTTATGAAAATATGAAATGGTTCATGGTCACTGACTACTGGTTTTGGGGTAATTCTTAGTTTGACTAGCTGACTAATTTGGCCATCTTGTGTTAGACCACAAACGCCTCACATGTCCTATGCTGATTAATTACCCTTGTTTGTCGCTTCAGAATAAAAACAGATTGAGAAAGGAAGCCCCGCAGGCGAGAGTCATACGTCCGGTTAACGTGGTCGACCTTGACTAATAACATTACTATGTAATAAAGAAGCAAGAGCGAAATATATGTAAAGTAAAACTTTTATCACTTAAAAGCTTTGAAACTCTTTAGTTTTAAAAAAGATTTTTCTTAGACAGAATCACTCACCTGTCTGTCATTTAGTGGAGAGTTCGGTTTTGTATAATATTGTGTATTAATACTGTTTATTTTTTTTATATTAGTTTTAAAAGAGATTAAAGACTTTAAATATTGTTTTCTTATTATATCACAGAAATCGCAATTAAATCTTTTATTATTTATTCATTCTAAGGTATTCCATATCATTAGAGTATATATACCTACTAGATTAGGTTACTTAAAAATATACTAAGTTTTTCGTAGCGTCAGTCGCAGGAGAAATGTTAGAAAATATTCCAAAATTGACGAGAGACCACAACCGCTGACCGCAAATGGCACTTGTATATGTATGAGCAACCGTAAGCGAGACCATAAGAATTGTGTGTCCAATGTACACACCAGTATTTAACGTAAACTCGTTTTTCAACTACCTACCTTTTATAAAAACAAGAATGAACCATTGCGGGAAGTCTGGCATTATTATTTTATACATATAAAGATACTTATTAGGATAGTTTATGACAGGAAATTCGTGTGGCATAATGAAAATAAAATATTCATATTTCAGAAACAGTCGCTTAAGCATAGCGACGCGTCGTCACGCCAGCAATCGGTTTTACTTGCGGCTATAGATGATAGATGTTCCACATCAATAATAAGGTACACCATCTAAAATATGACTTTTGTTGCGTAGACAGGTCAATGAGTTCACGGCCCAGCTCGTCTTAAGTGGAGACTCGAACCCATAGTCATCATAACGCGAACGTCGCCTTCCACCTTCAAATACAAAATCGAATTCTCAGTTTTTATGTAAAAAAATCGCACTTATCGTTTACAAAAGAAAGTTTTGGTTCACTTTTGTATGATTAACTAATTTACCGAAATGTCAAGTGTGACCCGTACCAAGGCCGGGCGGTTATTTTTACAACTACAAGTGACCATTTAAATTGATACAATTACGTTCGGTGTGTTAAAATTTATGATCTTGTTTGACGGCGATCTTTTTTTCGAGCAGGAAGCCGTACCTCCTACGAATTATCCGCGCCTAGGGGGCACGCGGGTATGTGGAACTTGACGGCACACGTTGAGAGCAGCCAGCTGGCTCAAAGATATTAGTATCCTACCGCACTAATCGACTTTCCTTGCACCCTTTCATCTGAAGCCCGATCTCCGCCCGGAATCAGAACTCAGTCAAAAGGGGGGGTTCCGCGGTCAACACTACAACCAGACTTGTGGCGCCATCCCTAGGACGACCGACCGGCGGGTCGTTGAGGCGATCGTCGACGATCAACAACGCCGGTCTCCGAAGTACCTAGCCGGTTACGCCGCCAGGGCGATGCAGTTAGTATTCCGGGATACCAGACGTCAGAACCAGCCTGCCGGGTCGTTTAGCCACGACAGCGAATTGAAAAAAGTCTGTACAACACTTGGTTTATAAAGTTATATTATACTAGCGACCCGCCCTCGCTTCG